TCTTCCTTTTAGTCCACTGGCAATTGAAGAGCCTTTCCTCACACTGCAGCTTTACTGCAGGAGGCTCATGCAGAACCAATGGGTCTCTCTGGAATGAGGGTGCCTTCTCTCTGGCTCCATATCCCCGTCTTAACATTCCACATGATAAAGGTGCAGGCTTGCAGATGGGGGCACAAAAGGTCCATCTTAAGGCATTCCTTTCCATTTGCTTCACTCAGACTTTCTACCTTCTCTAGTAGTCACATTGACACAGACATAAATGGATCCATGCAAGGAGAGGAATGCTTTTGTTCCTTAATGGGCCTCTTTCCTGGTGGGATAAGTGAATTCCCAGGCAAGCTATTTAAATGTGAGAAATGTGCCTTGGACTGTGCCTAAATGTGCTCCTTTACCCTTACTATTCTTGTAGATACAGTCACTTTTGAGGAAAAAAATAGATGGCACCACAAACAGCTTATAAGTCTCCTATGCCAAATAAAGCTCCAACTTGTACAGCCCAATTTGTAATTTGGGTTGTAAAACTGCTCAGTTCCTTTTGCTGAATATTCAAGCAGCAGCTTTTGACAAGCTTCTACATGAATGCCCAGAAAAAACCCTGTGTGAGACGCTCATTTACCCTCATGTGAGACATTGTTGTCTCTCTCCAATGCAAGAGCCTTTTCCTGGCTGTGGTTTGAAACACTTGCAGGGCTGCAGAGAGAGAAATTGAGTTTCAGCATCCCCTGGATGCAGCGGCTACTGAGAGGGGTCCAGCTGAACCGGGGACAGATGCACAGAGCATCACGCTTGTGCAAAGATGGATTAGGCTGCAAAATCTCCTTATTAAAGCAGGAGTGAAATAATTTTGGCATCTGGGGTTCTTTTTAGCTCCCAGCAAAGTCAGTTGGAGCTCTGCAGCAGACTCCAATGAGAGAAGGATAAGGCATTAAATAACATGCTGCACAGCTTTTGTGTGAGTTGAAAAGGATCCAGGCAAACCTTTGCCAGAGTGATTGTGGATGTGGTGCTTTTCCAGAAGAGTTTGGAGGGGCTCAAGCTTGGCCAAAGGAGTACAAATCAGTTCAAACCTAAAATTGTGCTAAATTTTCCAAAACCTAAATGACAGACAACAGAAAAGCATGAAAAACATTGAAGCTATAATCCAAGTTAACATCTGAGCAGAGTACAAAAGAAAGATGCAGCTGGTTAAATGAACTTTTTTTTCTAAAGAAACTTCAGTTGTAATTTTTTCATATTGAATTTTAAAAATAGTCTCCACTTTACCCTCTAAGTGAACTGGAAAAGAACAAATGACAATAGCATAGCAATTTGGGGGCCAATTTTCCTTAAATACATGTTCTATTCGATATTGAACCCTTTTGATATTCAGAAGTTTCAGGACTCAGTTCTCTGAAAGAAGCTGCATAAATTGTGGAATTCTGACAATACCGTTTGGCCTAATAGCTACTTGATCATGATTCCTTGGTGGATCCCACTGTTCTGGCTGATTGGAAAGCTCTCATTGCATACAATAATGCTGAAATGCCAGTCAGACTGCCTTGCATAGGGTTTCATGTGCTTTGTCATTAAGCCCTATTGTCAGGGTCTTTGTCATCTGGCTGTAAAATCATTCTGAGCAGAGGGGACATGCACAAACCTGGGAGCACATCCATTTGGCTATTTTTGCATATTTTTCAAAGTGCCTGTTCTCTTTTCCTGCTTTTTCTTTCTTTTTAAGTTTTTTTTCCATTTAACAAGAAGAAAGATGAAATCCATTCTCCCCAAAATCTAATACTTAAAGTTCAGATAAGTTGGGCCTTTTCAAGGGAGTTAATTTTTTTTTTTTTCTGACACTGCTTCTAGACTGACACTCACCAAAAGGTGATTTTATTATTTTCTCCCAAAAAATGTCTTAAGAACATTTCAGGCTTCTGTTATGTTCAGAACCATAGTCTGGCAGACCTTTCAAGATTAGTTTCTAGCTGATATACCTTTGGCCTTTCTTTGATGTTGGTTGCAAACTACATGGACCCGCTTGTTCTGCATTGACTCACTCTCCATAGTGCCATATTGTTGCTGTATTCCATAGAAATAATTTGTCATTGTTGGTGTAGTAGTCTAAGAGAAAGGTGACTGTAGTAGATTCTTCTAGAAATAATTGAAATTTAACAGAGACATTCAAGTTGGTTTTCCTGTAGTTGTTCTTGCATATTTAAAGTTTTTTCTTTTCTTTTGTAAGTACTGAGAATTTTATAAACTGTTTATGTCTGGCACATTATCTAAGTCCATTTAGTATTGCGCCTTTTCTTTGCAGAGCAGAGGAAAACATTTTCTTATAAATTATTTTCTGTGTATGAGCAAATACAGGCAGAGCAGCTCAATAAATAAATCTAGATTAAACCACTCCTCCCTTTCTCCCTTTATGTGTTTCATGTTGCTTTTTCTCTCTTCCTTTCTTAAGCTACCTGACCCATCTTCGTAGTTGTGCTCCACTAGCTGATTTCAGATTATTAAAATTCAGTATTAAAGAACAGTTTCTATCCTTTCACATCGATCTTGTGATTGAATGATATATTAAGGTTCCATTTAGAAATAATATAAATATATTTTAATAAAAATAGTTGGACCCAACAATTCAGCAGTTTGATTAAAACAATATTTATTTTGACTCTAGAAATAGCCTTGTGATTCTTCCTTATCTGTCATATAAAGATGAATTCATTATTAACTCATTACCTTAGAATGTATTGATCAAGTTAGTTTTAAATGTGCTGGAATTCTGCTAAAATTATAATTAATTTTTTCTCTTTTTTTGAAAAGAAAAAGGTTTTTTAATTTATCTCAACATTGCCAAGTACAGTGTTACGCAGACAAGGGGTCAGAAAGCCTCTCCTGTTATATTCAAAGTCTATTTGTGTGGATAGCTCCAGGACAGCTTCTTTTCTCTAGAGACCAAGATACACTTCTGTCTTGGGCCAGTGTCCAGTGCTTTCAGCTGGAATAGAGTTACTCTCCTTTCCAGTGGATGCTGTAGTGCTGTTTTGGATTTAGCATAAATCCATATGGATAATGGATAACACAGGATAATGTTGATAACACAGTGCTTGTTTGGGTGTTGCTAGGAAGGGCTTACTCTAAATCAAGAACTTTTCGGTTTCCCATGCTCTGCCAGTGAGGAGATGCACAAAAATGCAGGAGGAAGTACAGCCAGAACAGCTGACCTGAGCTGGCCAAAGGAATATTCCATACAACTGGCCAAAGGAATATTCCATACCTCAAAACACCAAGCTCAGTGTATGAACTGGGGAGAGCTGGCTGTGAGCCACCAAGCACTGCCCAGGCTGGGCATCAGTCAGCAGGTGGGGAGAAATTGTGTTGTGCAGCACTTGCTTTTTAATTGGGGTTTATTTTTAAAATTTCAATTATTATTATTATTATAATCATCAGTATTAGTATCATTATATCACAGTATAATTAGTATTATTATATTCTATTTGATTTCAATTGTTAAGCTGTTCTTATCTCAATCCATGAGCGTTCTTTTTTTTTCCTTGTCTGATTCTCCTCCCCATCCCACTGAGGAGCATGGGAGCCAGCAGCTCTGTACTACCTAGCTACTGGCTGGAATTAAAATTAAACCAGGCAGGCACATGGAAAGACAAATGTCAGGCACTTTTGGATGCTAAGACTCAGGACCCAGAGTGGGTGATGAGTGTGAGCTCCTGCTCCCTGACACAAGCTCTCATTCCAAAGTTGGTGGAGTGCCTTGTCTCTGTTCTGGTTTGAGCGAGTGCAGCAGCACAGGAAAATAAACCTAGTACCCTGCAGTGTCAGCTTGCAGAGACTTCACCTTCACTTGCATTTTTTCCCTGCCGCTCAGCTTTCCCTTCCCTTGGCTCAATGCAGCTCTGTGCAGCAGCAAATCCCTCCTGGCTGCCTTTGCCACCATCCCCAGGAGCTGCTCCTGCAGCCAGCCCAGGATGTGTCTGTGTGCCCAGGTCAGCACCTCCAGATCTGGAATCTGGCATGTCACAGCCTGGGGACATTCCTGGGAGAAGGCAGAGCAATGTGTGCAGGGCCTAATGGCAATTTGCCTGGCTTCAGCCAAAGGTATTGATTGTTGGGTGCATTAATATTAGGAAACACACTGTCTCCATTCTTTTTCAAAGGGCCAATAATCAGCTGTGAAATCCTTTAGCTGACTTAACAAAGATTATTTGACAAGGAGGACAGCTGTATTAATATAAACAAGCATGTCTGTTTAATTGCCTTCCTCTTTCAAGCAGCCCTATTTGTTATGATCAAATGGAATGATCCTAAAACTTTTTTATTGCTTCCCACAGAGGAAAAAGATCTGATGAAGTAGAAAAAAATCTTAAATTAGCTCAGCATTTTCAAGACAGAAGCTTTCTCAAATTGTTTCAATTAGTGGTTTCTTTTTTCCTTCCAGGTACTCTCTACAGCCTTTCTTGATTTTTAAAGCTGTCTGTATCTCCTCCTTCACACTTTCCTCAGTTAGACATTTGTCTTTTTAAACTAGCACCTCTTTTCAGGATTTTGCTTTTCCTAGACTGTTTTGCTTATTTTTGAAAATAAATAAATAAATAAATAAGCAAAATAATCTTCTGCTGTCACAGAAATACATAATAGAAGGAAGTCAAAGATATGTGTTATATTATCAGACTCATAAAATGGTACTTGATAAAGTGTCACATAAAAGACTTACCAGAAAGTAAGGATTTATGAATTACATGGAAAAAGAAGGGATATAAAAATGCAGTAGAGAAGAGAGACTGGGGAGATATGATTTGTCATTGTGACTGACAGTCTAAAAATAGTGCTCCTGATGCTGGTAGTGAGCAGTGATATCCTCTGAGGCTCTCTTCTAAGCCTGGTTGTCTGCTGTATTCAGTGCAGTTTATTGATGGAAACGTGAGGTGGAGCAGCCTTATAATAGACCTTGGGAATATTCCAAAGGGAGAGAGGAGTCTGCTGAATGATAAAATCTTGTTCCGTGTGACACTGTTGAGACAACCAAGCCACCAAGCTGTTGACTTCATCTCCTCCATAGCTGATTCATGGGTTCTTACACCAGTCCTTTGTGGCAACAATATCTGGACTTCAAGGTAGTTAATTACTGAAGTGCAGCTAATGAAGCCTTCTCAAAGAATTCCCAGGGGCCACTTGTAAATCAAGGAAAAAACAATGACCAACAATGAGAGCCAAGACCCACCACAGGTTAAAGAGAACTGAATGTACATAAAAATTCTATTGTTTGGGAAAAAAAATCAATTTTTTTTTCTTTTTTTGGTAAAATGTTTCTCATTTACATCCTATGATCTCTATTTCTGCAAAAATTAAATTTTTTATCTTCATGGGAATGAAATAGATAATATTCTGCCTTTTGCTCTACTACAGGCTTCTGTGGATTCTGTATTGTAATATGTCTATATTATATACTAACTAATTAATTCAATTTTAATTGGAGTCTTCTTTTCAGTATTACAACATATTATAATATGCTTATTATAACATTTTATATTATAATATAAAAATGCCCTAAATTGTGAGCACAAAAATTTGAAGAAATAATGTCATTAAATTAGGAAAGGAAAATTTGCTTTCTCTAATGTCAAGGAAGGCCTTCAGTATATTCCAGACTAAAACTCTGAAAAACTGTGATGAAATCAAAATTGTGTTTTACAGTGGCAAAGGAAGAGGGCTTGGATGTATCTGTGATACACAGAAATTGTCTTTTATTTTAAAAATCTTTGTGTTTTCCAGTAAAATTCATGTATAATCTCATCGTAAAAAATGCTTTTTCTAAACTTGGACCATGCATGTGTTAAAGTCAATCTCAGTCTGATATCCATGGCCTTGGATATTAATATGGTTGAGAGACAAGTTCTCTGCAGTTTGGTTAGTGCCTCTCAACAAGTGCTTGGGTAGTTTAAATTCCAGTCCACCATCACTGGAGAGTTAAACACTTCTGCAAAAGTTCCCAAATTATCATGTAGTCTATAATTCTTTAAAAACTCTTCTTACTGAAACATGTGACATGGTTTAGGTATTCCCCAATTTATTGTTCCCACTGAAATACTCCAAACCAGGGGCTCACTCCCCCTTCCCCTGTGGCTGGAGAGAACTGGAGGCACAACGGGCACAGGTTAAGATAAGAACAATTTACTGGGAACAGCAATGAGATAAGGAGGGAACAGTAACAGCAACAATATTGATAACAGAGTGCACAAGAGAGGCAAACAATTCACACCCACCATGTGTTACCCTGACTGCTCCCTCCCCACTGCCTGCCCTTATCCCATCCCTGGCTATGGCATGAGGTGGTGTGGAAAAACCTCTGGGTCCTGGATACTGCAAAAATTCACCCTCTCCTGGCCAGAACCAGGACACCTTGAAAAATCCCTAAAGAATGTGAAAAAAAAAAATAATAACCCACTTCTTGTCCAGATTTGTCTATTTAATTCCCTCTCACTTTAAGAATGCTCTGTAATGCCTCCTTTCTAGTCTGAGGTAAAAGCAGCATCAGTTTCACATGAATAGTGGTACTACACTGTACAATTTGGATATCCATCTTTGAAACAGTTGTCACACATTCCCAGGAGGACAAATGCTTTACTAAGCTTTGGGGACAAGTGGTTCATAGAGAGGTCCACAAGTCCCCAGTCAGCTCTGCTCTTGTCCTCTACATCTATTTTCAGGAAAAAATCTCTTACATGAATACAAGGGGTTGTTGAATAATGTATGACTCTTAGAAATTTTAATTTTTTGCACTCTATTCTTTGATATTCTCCTCAATTTTCCAGGGAAAATGTCTTCCACAGAGAAGCCCAGATTTATGGATTCATGTAGGCTTACAAGGATCTCCTAAGAGTCACTAGATAAGATGCAGGAAGGCTACACTTGCATCAAAGGTGAGAGTACCCAATTTTTGCTCCTCATTAATAAAGGAAGGAAATTTTTTATTTTTCTTTTTTAAAAATTATTTTCTAATTATTTTTATTATGATTTTTCCAACTGTAATTTTCTATGGCTTTTAGGAGTAGTCCAAAGTTAACCATATTGAAATCTTGTTATTGTTTTTTAAAGGGCTTATGATTTAACTAGAAAGAAGAAGAGATTAAATAAAAAAATGAATAGTTTTTAATTCTTTGCCCCTACATAATATATACACATAAATGTATTGACTGTTGCTTTTGCAGCTATACCAAAAATTTCAACCCTCCAGAATTTCCCCTGTACCATAGAATATTTATACTGAATAAATCCAGAGTGGCCATTTTAAATACAAGAGCAAATATGGAAGTTCTACAATTCAGTAAGATCATCAGGTAGAAAAAAGTCACAGGCACAAAAAAAGAGCTGTGGTGTTGACAAAGAAATATTGTGAACATTTAATGGCAGTTCCAGTAGCTGCACAGTGTATTGTAGTTAAATAGTTTTGTCAGTTGCTTTTCTTGTAACCATTGGCCATGCCACAGTTCTGTATAAACCTCTGCAGGAGACAGAACCAGCTTTAATGAAATTTGAGTAGCTGACATATTAGGCAGTGCATTATTCTGGAAGAAATGCTCCTTGATATTTTTCCAAAGGACTCTCTCTCAACTGTAATCACTTTCTCCCTACATGAATGATGTCACTAAAGACTTTTAAGAAAATAATTATTTTGGCATTGACTGTAAAACAAATAGTTTAAGAACATCTGAGGCTCTGCAGAAATTATTTCTTTTATCCTGTATTGATGAAGCAACAGCATGTGGCAGAAGTTGATTCCATCAGGCCTGCTAGTTGCAGGGTCTGTGAGCCAGATCTCATGCAATGGGAGAATATTGCTTATTTTGCTGCTGTAACAGCTTTGAACTCTATCATGGAAAAAGTGTTTTAGAAGACAACAAGTTACAAAACACATTTATTCATAGTTTTTTTTTTTTTTTAAGGAATCTCTTTAAACCCAGAGATTTTAGTTCATAAATACGAGTTCAAAAGGTTTAAACACCTAAATGTCAGATGCAGAAGTTATTTCAGCCCAAAGGAAAATCATCACAATCTGTGTTTTAGTACCCTATGGTTTAGTGATCTCAACCCCCAAAAATTCAGCCCTGGCAAGTTGACCGAGAACATCTGAGATACTTACCCATCCCTTCAGAGGCAGAGGAAAGGGATAAGAAGAATCAAAAACAAGCTGGAAAACCTAGATGGGGAGCAAAGGTTTCTTAAAACTATCCATGGGAAATGTGCATCAAGCTTCAGCGCGCCTTTAAAGTAGAGATACTGGGTTCAAGACTGCATATTTGGTGCTTCTTTTCATTCCTGTCACTCCTAATCCAGGCTGGGAAGGCTGCCAAGTTCCAACTCAACCTGTTTCACAAAAAGAAGGAAAAAGTTTGCTGGAGAAGTTTTTCCTGCCTGTCTTTGGCTTAATAGCTTTTGTACTTGCCTGGGCTATTTTAGACCTCAGCTCAATTTCCTTTTCATACTGAGATGGATCAGACTTCTGTTTACCACTTTATAAAAGAATACCCTCACTACCAGATCATAAAGTAGGTGTGGAGAAGGAAGGAAAAGGTGCAAAGGGAGCAAGACACTCAAAACTCTCTTATTAAGATCGATCACCAAGGGCCAAAGGCAAACAGAAAAGCAAGAAGGACAAGTCTCGGCAGTTCAGTGTTCATGCAGGAACACTCAAGTGTTCAGAGCAGAAACTCTTGTTACACCAAGGAAAAGGGAATTTTTAATCATTTGAAAAACATGTTATTTTATTTGGGATTTATTGTTGCTCTCCTTTATTAAAATTTTTTAAATACTTGACTGTATGCTTATCTACATCTAACCTCTTTTATTTTTTAACCTGTTTTCCTTCCAGTCTACTTAAGAACTATTCTACTTTATCTGAAACAGGAATTCATCTTAATTTTCTTTATCTTATATTCTTCTGTATCCTTGACTACAGAACATGAGGACATTATTTACTTTTCTGCATGAGGAAGGTTGCTGGTTTTTCCCAAGTCCATACTCTCAGATCTGTTTATGACCATCATAAAGTCTGCATTACAAGCAGAAGTTCTTTATTGTGTTTGAGTTAGCACTTTTGCCTTAAATTGGATGGCTTCAGTGGAGTTTCACCAAGTTTCAGCATCTGAAAATCTGGTTCAGCATTTTAGTTAGGAATTGGGACTATGGAGTGACAGCAGTTTTGCAGAGAGCTTGTCTCACCTTGTCAGGCCTTGCATTGTAGATGCAAGTGTTTTTGATGCTTAGTTTACATGAAAACTACTAAATTTTGGCTGTGATTAAATCTTATTCACTGTCACTTTCCAGCTTTACCCTGTGTCTATGCTTGTATGAAAAAAAAGTAAATTTCACAGTTTCATGTGAGGTCATGAATAGAAACCACATTTTCACATTTACAAAATTAGATATTGATAGTGGTTATATATATAAATAGTGAAATACCGCCACCAGTACCATCAACCAGCAATCTTGAATAGAGAACATTCTCATGATGCTTTGCAGTCATCTTTGCAGTGCTTCAGTGCAAGTGGAGCCCACCAACATCTGTCTGTGGAAAGCAGATCTCACTAGAAAGGAGCTTTTGGAAAGATCCAAGCCTGTTTGATAGGATACTGTCGGGTTTCCACATGGCTTTGGATATTGTACTGTGCAAACCTGGACAGTGCTAGATCAACACAGGCTATTTGTAAACCACATGGATTAATCAGTTACACAATAGAGAATTATGATGATGGTGTGGTTTTGCAATTTGTAGTTAAATTTTTTTTTTTACTTACCTCTTTTTGTCCTTAAGCATATATTTTTTAAACTCTGATGTGTAAAAAACCATAAAGTTTTCATGAGAAACAACTGTAACTGGCACAAAAATAGGCTAAATGGCAAATAACAGAGATGTTTATTCACTTGTTAGTGAGCATAAACAAATTATATGAATTTCATTATGTGCAAATATAATGTTGTATTAAAGCAGTAAATGGAGTTCATAGTCTCTGAATGGATTACTCCTTCCTGAAAATTTGTGACTAAAAAAGGACTTAGGGACTCTGGGATTTAGTCAATCTAATGTAAGTTCCTGGTCTGATACAGTGGTAGAGGCGTGATCCTTAGAAAAGGAACCCAGAATAGGAGTAGAGAGCTGGTTTGGTGTTCTTCTGATATTGCACAGAAGTGCCTTGAGATTGGCCAGAGGAATAGAAAACATCCCTTATGGCAGTTTGTCCTGGGTTGACTATATGATGCTTTTATCCCCAGTCGTCTCATTCTGTTTATGTTGAATTATGAGTTTTGTACCTTTAAGAGTGTTCCAGAGACTGAAGGGGGGGGAGAGAAGAAGCACATGGTTTGTTTTCAGACACTGCACTCCTCCTCCACATTCCTGCTCCTGACTCTGTTGTCTGTGGATGAACAGACAGCGGGACAGAGCTCTTCCTTTGCTTTTTAGTTAGTGTTAGCTAGCTGAGGCAAAGAAGTTCCCTGGACTTTTTTTTTTTTTTTTAATTTTTTCCTTTTCTTTGGACCTCTTGAAACTGCTCTGGACTGAACACCCAGGAGAGCACCGGCAGCTGCAGCTGTGGCCCACCGGGCCAGGCCTGGCCTGCGACAATTCCAGCACTGAGGGACTGACCAGAGACTGAGTGAGCTGCAACCCGGGGACGGGGTTTTCTCAGTTTGTCATCTCTTTTAGAGTGGCAAGGGGTCTCATTGTTTGATATTGTTTTGGTTTTATTGTTTAATAAACAGTTTTTTTCCACCTTTCTCCAAGGAGGTAAATTTTCCTCCTGGACCAGTTAGGGGGAGGAGCCGATTGGATCTGCTTTTCCCACCGGATCTCCTCTGGGGGATTCTTCCCCAAATTTGCTCTAAACCTGGACACAGTTCCTGAAGCTGTCCTCTCAGTTCAATAAATGACAGAGAATTTCAAGGGTAACAAAAGCCCAGTTTATAAATACTTTGAATTAATGAAAGAAAGACACTACAAACTGTGCAACAGGTTAATTAGCTATTGGTGGCAGCAACTCATGGTGGATGATGGGAGAGCCTCACTGAGAACTTTGAAATAAAATCTGAAAATTTGCCTGAAGTGTTTCCTCTGATTCAAACAGAATCACAGAACTGAAAGGAGGAATTAAATAATAAAAGTCCAATGACCTCTGTGAAGTTCAGACTATAATCACTGTAGTCCATTTTGGCTATAAAATTTCTGTGATGCTGATTTGCACAGTAATATCACAATTAATATTCATTTATCCTCAAAATGTGCTAGGGAGATTTATTTTACCTCTCTTTTATAGATGATGAACATGGAAAAGCATACTTGTCAGGGATGTACAATCCAGTTTAGATCTGTCTAATGCCATAAGTATTCCAGCACCATAATTTTTTTGTGTAAAGGAGAGATGCCTGTAAAAGTGTGTGTCTTCCTACTTCCAATGCATAATAGAGCCTGTAGCTGTGAGAGTGTTACTATATTACATGACTGTCTACCTCCTACATGAACACCAAGATTTCTAAGCAATTTTCAGTTAAATGGGTGACTGAGAATAAGAGGATTCAGAGGTGGCAGCAAATGTTTAGCAAATGTCTCTGCAAACATGCATGTGGAGATGTGTTTTCACCATGTATTTGTCATTTTCAGAAAAACAACTATGCATTAAAAATCCAAAACCATGTAATTTTCATAGCCAAAAAGACACAATTTCAGCCTAAGTGAGCCAATATAAAAGGTATAGCCTGTACTTATTATGTAGGTCCTATGGAAATTCACTGTTTTTCTGACAAGGCCACCTAAAGGAAATGTATCAGTTCACTGACACTCATCCTCATGAACATTTTCTACCTTTTCTTTCCTAAAGGATGAAAGAATGATTTAAAGCAGTTAGCACATGACAATAGGCATTTTTCA